GCTGCTGCTGCTACTAGTACAGGCTCGCCACCGACATAACAACAACGTCTGTAGCTGCAAAGCACCCAAGGTGCAGCAGTACTCAAGCAGCAGATACCAAGAGCCGCAGCGCAGCGTCAATATAAGAAGCACGTCATCAACTGCAAACGGACGTCTTCTGCTGCAGCTGCGGCAGCAGGTGATTGCTGAGGAGGAACGGCAACTCCTGTTTCAGTCGTGTCTGTTAAAAGAGGAGAAAAGAGTGTCAGTGAAAGGCGTTCAGGCAGCAGGAACTCTCAGGTCGCTTTTGCTGCTGTTGCAGTAGAAGCAGCGGCAGCAAACTACCCGGAAGCTGCAGCAGGAAGCTGCAGTAAAAGCCTGAAACCGAATGCTACCTGCGACAGTTGCCCTGTTACAAGCAAGCCTAAGCAGCGTGTCTCGAGCTGCTCCTGCAGCAGCTCGGAGGGAGTGCCATGTAAATCCGCCGATTTAGCTCAGTCGGTAGAGCGCCAGCCTTTTAAGCTGGTGGTCGCGGGTTCGAGCCCCGTAGTNGATTTAGCTCAGTCGGTAGAGCGCCAGCCTTTTAAGCTGGTGGTCGCGGGTTCGAGCCCCGTAGTCGGCTTTATTCAAGTGGCACGATGGGTTTTTGTCTGTCACTATATGAGCATTCCCTTTTCAGTATTATACTTGCTGGTTGCGTTTCTACCGCGGGTTGATCATGACATATTGTATCCCACAAAGCATGTTACTCTAATCTTTATTAAGTGTCTCTAAACCCTCTCAGGTTGTTTCTACCGAGTTTATGTCTCATATTTTTGCTGTTCTGAATCAGATTCCCCCAGCTTTCGAGCCTAGCTTCTCCATGCCGAATGCCTCTCACTCAACGAGAGCCTAGGCAGTTTTCACAGCGGCGCGAAATTCCGACCCTTCCCCTTGCTAAAAACGAGCAGCGGCATAAACGAGTAGCCAGAAGCCAAGTGTATTGCGGGAAGCTGTCTATACGCCCCTGGATTTCGCTCATTTCAAACTACGGAAATGCCACGGGTCACCTGCGAGTGTCCGTTGTCTCAGCTCAAGTGCCCTGTCAGAGGTTGTAGCCGGTGTAGCAAAGGCAGAAAGAGAACACTGTTCAAAAAGGAAACCCAGACTTGCTGCGTTAAAGCCAGTAAACACAAGTAGACGAGCAGCCGTACCCTAGCCCATGCCCGTCGAGCCAGATGTCCTGAGACCTTTGCGAACCCACCCTGCCCTAACAAGTAGTGTGCTTGCAGCACAGAGAACATAAAAATTACAGCAGTTTTCACGAGAAGTTTGCCTAACGGCTGCAGCAACGGCAGCAACGACTGTGGCTATCGCGACGGGCGTGTCAGCAGCGGCAGCCTCCGGCGGAACGGTATTGTCTGTGGCGAAGAATCGAGCAGTGTGTCTTTATTGAGTAGTCATTTGGAGGCCTGCCTTTTTCCTACTCTTCTCTGGTTGACGGATTGAAACCGTCAACGGCAAACGCATCTTGCACCGTACCTGGATAGCCCAGAAGGTCCAAGAGGGCCCCCACAACACCTGCCCTCGTGCATATATAGGAGCTGTCACGCGGCAAAGACGACACTACCGACACACGAAGCAACTGTTGCAACGACAGCTACGGCAACAGCAGTAGAAGAGGAAAAGGAAGTGCAACTCTCGCACTTCTTGGAGCCGCAGCATGCGAAGACACTTGCGCCGCCTTCTGATCTAGTGAAGAATAGCAAAACCCATATGCAAACAGGAGAAGTACGATTGTGAGCGCTAGCATCAGCCGAAGGGGCAACATCGGCAGCGGCACCGGGAACGAGACCAGCAGCACCAGCAGCAAGACCAGCAGCAGCAAGCGCTAGCCCCAGCCGCAGGGGCAATATTGGCAGTCGCACCAGGAACGAGACCATCAGCAGCAGCGGCAAGACCAGCAGCAGCAATATCAGCACCAAAAAGGTGACCAACAGCTGCAACGACGGAAAGCGTAGAAACGAGAAAAGCCGCAGCGAAAATAGGAGCATCAGCAAGGCCAGCAGGAGCAGCAAAAGGCCCTGCAGCAGGAAGGACAAACGAGCACCTGGGGAAACGTACGGTGCAGCAGCACTAACAGCCGTGGGCTGTGTCGTGCAGCACCTGTTCCAACGGCGAAATAGCGACGTCTGAATTTATGGGACCGCAGATGGAAGTCTTGCAAGCACNCCGGGGAGATGGCTTTGCGTCACGTCGCTGATGATATAGCATGTGCAGCAACAGCCGATGCAGCAGCAGCACAATGCGATGCACTGCGAGAAACCAAGGCAGCAGGTGCAGACGCAGCAACAGAAGGGCTGCCGCTCTGGCGCCAGGTCTTCCTAAGAAGGACCAGGATTAAGCACTTGCTGCAGCATGAGTGGTTTGCTGATGTCTGTACTGCACACGCAGCAGCGCTGGAGGAAAATCGCCGGCTGCTAGCGAACCATGCGTCTATCTTGGCTGTTCGCTCTGCCGCCGCAGCACAAGAGGGAGTAGCAGCAGCTGCTGCTACTGCTGCTGGTACAGGCTCGCCATCGACAGACCAACGCCTGCTGCTGCAAAGCGCACAAGATGCAGCAGCACTCAAACAGCAGGTAAGGACGATACAGACAGCAGCAGCAGCGGCACAACGTCAATATGAGAAGCACCGACGGCACCTAGAAACGGAGCTGCTTCTGTTGCAGCAGCAGGTGCAACAACAGCAGCAAGTCCTTGCGGATAAAGACCGAGAACTACTGCAGCAGCAGCGTCTGCTGAGAGAGAAGGAGGAGGAAGTTTCCGAGAAGGAAGCTCAGGCAGCAGCAACTCGCAGGACGTGCTTGTTGCTTGTGCAGCAGCAGCAGCAGCAGCAGCTAGTTGTGCAGAAGGCGCAACAGGAAGTTGCAGCGAAAGCCCTAGAGACGGAAGGCTACCTGCGGGAGCTTCTGCGCTACAAGCAAGCAGAAGCAGCTTCTCTCGAGCTGCTGCAGCAGCAGATGCATGCAGGACCACCGGAAAACGCCGATTCTGCTGTTGCAGCAGCCCCAGGGAGCACCAGAAGCAGTGAAGGCTGCAGCTGCTGCTCATGCCGGTGCTGGGCCCGCTTCAGCTGCAGCCCGTGGGGCTGCAGTAGCTACGTTGGGAATGAACGGTGCTGTTGGAACGTCTAGCAGCAGCAGCAGCAGCAACCGCAGCAGCAGCGAGGCCAGCAGAGGAACTGCGGGAAATGAGTATTCCTAAACCTGAACAATTTGATACTAGCTTTTGTAAACACTGAGTAAAATCTCAGCACTAGGAGACATGTGATTTAATTGATGTTACTGGAAAATCATTTACTCGGACCAGACCGGCGAATGCTAAACAATTCTTGAATGATAATGTTTGAGTGTCAATCATACATGATGGTTTAAGGCTTCCCATGAAGTCTACTCAGAAAAGTCTATTAAAAGAATACACTTCACAGCATGCAGTAACTTCTCCGGTTGTTTCCAACTCGACTCTACAGTCTAACTTACGGAGCCCCATTTTATAGAAACTACAGAGTTGCACGGAGGCTGAGTCTCTATGGCGAAAGGAGGAGAGGCTTGTATACCTAGGCACCCGCGTTTTTATTAGTAAGAAAGTAATAATGCCTGACTAGTTGGCGATTTTGCAGTGTAGTTAAGAAGCGGAAAGAGTCCGTTGGATTCATCCTTAAGACACTGGGATGTTTGATGAGTAGGCATAGCTTATGGTATCTGCTCGGCATCCTACTACGAAAAGCATCGGTTTTCACCCTGGATGCGCATTCTCTGTACTCACTGTGTGCGTGTGCAAGTTTTGGAGCCCAACTTCGCGACTAAGCTTCCTTTAGCTTTTCTAAGCATCATTCTTCCATCATGGCCAGTTTTTGGCTAATATTTGACTTTGGAGCCAGTGTGGGATCATAAATTTCAACCCGTGGCCGTTCTAGTAAGTATATGGCAAGCGAATAGACTTAGTCTCTGGGACTGCCTGGTGCGTATTAACGATTTGGGTTTCCAGCTGCCATATATTCGAAATTTCCAGAGGTGTATGTGCATAGCTTATTTTCGACGGCGACCTACTTTTCCTTTTCCTTTAGTACTCTAGCCGTAGAAATACCTCTGCTTAAAATGATACTAATTTTTTCAGCCACTCGTTCGTCATCAACTACCTNTACCTTCTTTGTTAAGGAGTTTTTCAACTCTCTTGCTGCTCTGTAGCACACACACGAGACTCATGGGTTTCTCCTGAAACAGGAATTTTGGGCTGTCTAGTAAAACTTCCTTTGTTCCTGGAGGAGCCTGTTAAGCTCCACGGGGTTGTTATAATGCATATCTGTAGAGATGAAATTATATATTCATTTTACGTAAAAAAGTATAAAACTGGAGTTTTTTTGAGATGAAAGGGATTCTGCAGTGGCGAAATGCGATGGCACAAAAAATATGATCAAATGCAAAGGCATATTACTGGGTTAAGGCTGCGACGATGGCGTTGATTAAAAAGCTGCCGTCTTACCTTTCCTTAACTGTAGTCCATAACTTTGACTAAAATGCTCACCATATTTTATCCCTTAACTAACGCATTAAGGGTCGCACCTGAGCAGTACGAGTGGACCTCAAGAGTAATTGATGGCGGCTCGTGCAGGCGGTGGAGCCCGTTGCTTGCTTACCAGAGCTTCAACTATACAATTTTAACACATTAATGAAGTTTTTTTTAACTTCAGGATGTGCATGGCTATCGCCAGCTTGTGTTTTAAGGTGACCGGTTAAGTCCTGCGACGAGCGCAGCCCATGTTTTGACGTTAAATACATCCGTAAAAGTGCCTACATTTTTGTGTAAAAATAAGGAGGAAGGCATGAAAAACGTCAATTCCTCATGCTGTGAAGCGACGGTGAAGCGACCTGATGCAGCTACTCCGGGATACAGGAGTGTAGGTAAGCAAATAAATGCGAAGGCAGACGGAAACACACAGTACCCATGTAAGCCGAAACGACGCTGACAGGGGCCGCTGCTCCTACTCGATTACTCAAACACATCCACGGGCAGCTCTGGTTGGGAAAGAACAGCTCCTGAGAGGACACTTTATTCCAACGGGGCCAAGGCGCTACAGGCGCTTAGGAAAGAGTTCTTGTTTTTCGTCACAAATACTCATCCCTTCTCTTTCTGGTCTACGTTCCAGTGCTGCTAGAGGGTACTGGCGCTTCAGCTAACATGCCAAAACGGGTGATGCTGGTGCCTTTTAAGCCAAGTGGGCAGACGGATTTGCAGCGGGCCGAGAGGGAGGCACAGCGAACATGATTACTACAGGAGGGCTCATGCGCAGTTGCTATTGCTGCTATCTGTGCTGCTGATGATACTGTTACTCCTCGTGAGAGCAGCAAACACAGAGCAAGAACACTTTTGGCCTGAAACAGAGACAGCAAGATCTCCTTTACGGCGGCAGGCCAGATAAAAACTAGCTGGAGCTTACCTCACAGGTGGACCCTTACGTTGTCGCTTGTGCCGCTCTTGCTCCAAGCGGCATCTGACTGACAACCAAGGGCCGCTGCAGTCACTGCGTACTTTGCAGAGGTGCCAATGCCTTTGCAGTTGATGACCGCGCCCCGTCCTGGCAACGAACCAGCAAAGAAGTTGACGGGTGTTCTGGTAGCTCGAGGCAAGAGCGTGACCCATTAGACCTTGTGGGAGTCCCCAGCATCCCCTCGCAAAGGAAGGCTTCCAAATACCTCAGTGGGATGCCATTGGCTCCGTGCGGACGACGAAGGATAGCAGGAATACAATATTTCTCGCCACATTCCCGTGGTCTCTGCGGGGGCAGCCCGCGCAGCACTTGAATTCTGGAGCGAATGGATATTAGAGACTACCTGTGGTTTTCCGTGCATGATGTTTTGCCCACCTCTGCTATTCAGCAGGTACGGATCTGCTGTTCGCAAGCTCATGCTTCCTTCAAATATCAAGCCGTGCCGTGCATTTGTTCACAAGCATCTCACAGGTATTTTGCCTTTATGCAGACCTGCTAACATGGCCAGCCAAACACGGATAGATGATTATCCAGTAGGCAGCTGGGTATATGAGGGCAGACCAAGCACAAGAGACGTGTCTGGGCAATTGTATAGAGACTCTCCTCTACCACCCACTGGGGGGCAGAGACGCCTGAAACAGGTGCTAGCGAATAGTAGCAAGCACAGAACGGTAGCCCACAGGTACTCTGGGGTATCATCTCCTGCCAAATATTTTCAAGGAGGGTTTTATTNCACAGAACGGTAGCCCACAGGTACTCTGGGGTATCATCTCCTGCCAAATATTTTCAAGGAGGGTTTTATTCCTCTTTGCCTTACTGTTCAGGGGTCCAGGGGACAAAAACGTTATCTGGAATTTCACGTGCGCAGATTCACCAATCGACTGCGTTCCTTCTGGTTCTTAAGGTGTCATGAGGCTTCTCTGGAAGCTTTTCCTAACGCTGCACGTGAGCCTACCCAAGCATCCTTTCTGCTGATGCACTAACACAATTACACACTGTGAGTAAGTGTTTAGCACATAGTTGGCCCTAGTTGGCCCTCAGTAGCCAACATATGCACCCACGAGGAAGCACATCTAGAACATAAGGCATTTCATGTTCAAAACGCAAATGCCGATGCCTACTTCTAAGACACTCTCCACAAGGCTATCTCTGAAAGGCAGCACTAAGCGCTTCCGTTATACGTCTGACACCACCTTGAGGTATTAAAACTTCCCCAAAGGGTAACTGGCAGAGGCCATACACAGCTGTGATCTAAGTTCCCTCTNTTGAGGTATTAAAACTTCCCCAAAGGGTAACTGGCAGAGGCCATACACAGCTGTGATCTAAGTTCCCTCTCTTCTGCTACTTTCTCAACAATATTGCTGTATGCTCTAAGTACCCATGTTTGTAGATAGTTGGGTCTAGCGATTTCTGCAGCGCTCCAGAAACTTCAGAATACTGGCGGGGAATCAGCTTCCCTGAGCACCGAAGTATTCTCTAGTGAACAACATACAACTCAGTGACAGCCTACGCTGAAGCTCCTGGAAATATCCCACCTTGTTGCCAAAGGAAACATGGATGGTAGTTTGCCTCGCTTTAGAATACAAACTGTAGAGTACCGATGCTTGAGAGTTCTTACACAAATTTCCATGTGTGTACGGGGATACTAACAGCTGTGAAGTCGGCGTTAAGGTTTGCTCCGCCGGATAGCACAGGTGAAGTGTTTCCACGCTGAGCTTTTCTCCATGAACGAATGTTGCTGCGGCTCGCGTTACAGGCTGCTTTGGCAAACTGTGGCGGCTAGCCACGATATGCTACTCTTGATGAGTACTGCGCCAGCTGCACCACTGGCTGTGAAATATCACCGCCAGCGCTGCGGTGCGTTATGAAGCACAGCGCTCTGACACTGCGTTATTTGGGTCTGGGAAGCTGTCGATGATGATGCTTCTCGTGCAACGGCTGCCAGAGATCCTGCTAGGCCTATGCAGCGCAGCCCCTGTCCACCGCGAAGATAACCGGAATACACGACCCAGGAAGGGCGATGACCAAGAATATGGAGCCCCAAAAGGCAAAATGCCACCACGTAGGCTTTTCCGGCATATCTTTGTTGAACAGAAAGCCGAGAGACAACCCTACAACACAACAAACAGAGACAACCATGTGCGCGAGTGATGCTGCTGGCGTCTCCACTACATGTAACTGAAGACAAAATGCGTGCAACCAGCAAAGAGCTGGTCATCCATGGATTTCAGCAGATTATGGAGGAATGATAAAGGATTGGAAGCCCCTGAAAAGGGCAAGTACCGCACCGCAGATTAAGCCTCCCAGGTGACCCATCTGGTCAATAGAACCACCGTTAAGCGTGAAAGCGAAGAGTCCCATAAGTAAAAAGAAAGACACAATGTTTGTAAGCAGACGATCCCGGTGCTGCAGCCTCCGCCAGCTAAGTGCCAACTCGGCTATCTCCACCCCCATCATACCAAATCCTGCAGAAAAAAAGGCGAAATGAGCTCACGTATCGAACGCATCTGAACTGGATCCGGGCAACTGCTTTCACTGAACCCAGAAGCCGAGGCCATTAGGCGGCAGCTGTCTCTATTAACTAGCGGAGTGAGTTATGGCTCGCCAACCATCTGGGCTCAAACATTTCGCGGCAGGATGCACAAACGTGGATGATTGTTACAAATCGAATGTACAAAAAATGCAGATGTTGCGAGTCACTAACCCATTCGAGGCACCAAGGCCAAAGCACGTTGGAGACGGGCAACCATTCGCAATGGATAGGCATGTGAGTGCACACATATATTTATTTATGCAGAGCGTATGTGCTGGAAGGCACTTGTGCAGATAGCTAGTTACACTCCTGTTCCTCTGCAAATGCGAATGCATGCGTCAATCGATACAAATTAAATGTGCCCAGGAGCCTCAGTTTCCCCATGAACGTAGGTCACCAAGTACTGGTTGTTAGTGTCTGTACATCTAGCAACAATTCAGGATGCATGCCTACTACGAATGAACTGAAGCCCAGTCTGCGATCAGTGGCTCGGTATGGAGACTGAAGGCTTGCCTGCAGTGCTGGCGCCGACTTTCACGGCTCCACAGAAAAGAGCCGCAGCGGAGAGGAGGTTGCCGTACACAGCGGAGGCGGCGTATAGCAAAGCAAACTTAAGGTAGCCATAACGTCTCTCGATGCCGAAACCCATCCGCATCTGGAAAAAAACATTGAAGGCCACGTGCAGGAGATTGGCGTGCAGGAAAGTTGCCGTTAGCAGCCTCCAAACCTGGCCCTTAGCCACCAAAGGGGGTACATTAGCTCCGAAGGTAACCAAAATCGCGGCTGTGGCGAAAACAATGTACATGGGAACAAAACGCAACATGCTTACGCAGGCATAATTTAGTAATGAGCAGCCACACGAAGTGCAGGAACTGGAAGATGAGGGCAGAAAAAACGCAAGAGGCAGATGGAAGAACGAACAATGCAGGGACATAGCCGAAAGGTTAGGGATCAGGAGGTGGATATTCAAAAGCATGACGAATACAGGTAAAAAAGTAAACATGCACAACGAAAGTATCCAAGCAAATAGACGGGGCGCATGACGCTAGCCTTACTTGACGGGACGAGAGGCATCTCTGAGTCGATGGCAAGCGTCGTAATAAACACTGCCCAGTCCGCTATTGATATAAGAAGCAGCAAGGAGCGTAGCCTGAAGTAGGGAAAGAGCAATTCGAGCACCCTCAGCGCCGTCGTTCGGCGCACAGAACTGGAGTCCCCACTGGTCAAGTTACTATCGGTACTGCGCGTTTCAGCTGCGATAGCACACAGAGCAGGATGTCGGTAAGGCAAAAAATAGTTCAAAGATATTACGAAGTCAAGTGACGTTGCTCAGCACAGCTAAGAGTGCTTAGAAAATGCACTTACGCGAACCCACTACCGGCTAGGTCAACATTTCTAAAGCACACATAAGCGATCAGCGCGGCTCATCACTCAATCGTAAAAGTTTACAGATGCCACAGTATCCAGAGGAGGGTCGCTGCAGCCCGCTCACCTCTCAGCAGGGGAGAACCCTCACCCGTTTCCATATCACGACTACGCTGTTCATCCTCCTTGCGGAGGTCTGACAGCGTCCGAACAACCATATTCCTCGCCGTCCTGTCCCCTTGATATTGCTGGTTACAGTGCTGTGTTGTGCCAGAACCACTAATATCCCGAAAACACTCCGTCGGGCTTCAGAGCAGCCAAAGTCTCAACTGAGTCTGTGTGGCTGACGCCTTATGGTAATCCGTTTGGCGAAACAGCCGCGGACGCACAGCTGTAAACCTATGGGTAGACGCTAGTAAGGTGCATAAGCAGTAAGCCCGCCCTTAAAACCTGGACTGAAGATCCACCCACTTACGCGCAGGGCTTCGAACCGTGAGGCGGCAGCCTCGCTGCTCCGACGAGGACCCTGCTTCCCACGAATATAATGGGCAAAAGCGCAGGAAGGAAATTGTGTATGAACGATGGTGAAGAGGAAGTGCCTTTTTGATGACAAAGGAAGGTTGAAAATTGCTCGTGCTGCTGCAACTGGAGTGCAGGTTGGCGGAACACAGCTATCAGCCAAGCAGAACACCGCCACTGCCACAACGAGGCAGAATGCTTAAAATTCGCGGATCCTCCAAGTAAACAAAATACAATAGTTTCTATTAATTATTTTCTTCAAGTGCGTATAAGAACCTAGTTAGGGCATTCCCCGACGCATGCTTCTCCGCAGGGCTAGTGGTCACTGAGGCCCCCACGGTTAAAGCCATGGACAAACGAGAATATGGGGGGCGGCAGAGCCGTCAGCATTCAGTAGTAGTTTGAGGACGCAAAGTGAGTCTTTTGAAAGTTTGCTAGGAACTAATGTTGATGCAGCATCTGCCATGGTCTAAATATGGACTAAATTGACACACCTAACCCGGAAACTTGAAAGATAGAGACTGCTGGGAGGAATGCAACGAAATTCCGCAAAAGGCTAAACGTTGTTCACACTGCATACTGTTTTTAGCTATCGATGTTGCCAAGTTTTAGATGCAGTGGTCCCCGTCGTGGTTGTAGGCGTGCTCAATCCTCCTTGCTGTAGGTCATGCTTCTATGTGCTTCTGTGTAGTTCTCTACGATGTTGGATCATGCCAGTCAAGTGGCTTCCCCCTACTCTACATGAGGGGATTTTTGAGATGGGGCCTCATCCCTGTAGCTGATCGTAATGCCTCCACGTAGACGGAGAGCAGCAACACACGCTTTTCTTGCACTGA